GCAGGGCTTCTTCAGGAGATCCGTTCATTTTATTGTGAATCCAGCCGCAAACAGTAATGAACAAAACCACCAATTCGGGACAGGGGTTTGTCTGTACACGCGGAAATCGGATCGTCTGTACACGCGGTGATGGGGATCGTCTGTACACGCGGGGATCGTTTGTATACGCGGTTTCCATATGCGGGGTGCCTAAACAGTGTGGCCATACTTTGGGTTCTTTTGGTAGGTGCAAAGGCCGGGTGTTGATCCAGGGTGCTCAGATGCGTGTGAGCCCCCACCCCTCCGCACCCCAACCCCACCCCACCCACCACCGCACCCTTACTGTAACATTGCATGGGATACTAGATATGAATGCTAGTCGAAGTGAACGTCATTAGCCCCACCCCACCCCACCCCACCCCATGTGCCCTGTGTGCGCAGATGATCCAGATTTGTGTGCGCAGATGATCCAGATCTGTGTGCGCAGATGATCCTGGCTGTGTACGCAGATGATCCTGATCTGTGTGCGTAGATGATCCCCTGTCCACCAATTCGCACGGCTGTGGCCGCATCAAAGGAGGTCCACGTCCGACAAAAGTGACCACATTCGCCTCACTGACCCGCTCCACCATCTCCCAGCATACATCAAACACCCCATGATTATACCATCAACTTCCCTATCTTTCCGTCCATCCTCATTCCCTGCGTACTCCCTTGCATTCCCTCCCAAAACCCTCAGCCTTCAGCAGGGCCCCAAAGGGCGCCGCTGAGTCGAAACGCCCCGTCTCACGCTCCGTCTCGCTCCGTACTGTGTCCGATCTGGGACGCCGCTCGACGCCTCCAAAAGGTGGAGATGTTCTGCTCCGCCGCCTCCGAGCGCAGCCGTTGCACCTCCATGGCGCGCCGCCGCCGCGAACGCTTGGGGCTGTAGCCCACCTGGCCGGTGGAATTGCATAGGACCAAAAGCATGGAAAGATGGATTGGTGCCGGGATGCTAGGGAAGTTGCACAAGAGGGAGCGATTCTGAAGATCTGGCGATTTTGAAGAGCAGGGTTTCAATGTCGCGCATGGTCCCAGCTACAAAGCCGAAAGACCGAAAGACCTTTCTCGAGGCTGCTCATGATCCCGAAGGAAGGCCAAAACCTTTTGCTGAACCAAACCTGCAAGGAAGATGTCCTGGGCCACAGCATTGAAGAAAGCAGCTGCAGCTCCTAGGTCCTAGAAATGGCCCTCTCTCTCCACCCCCCAAAGCACGGACACCAATGCTACACACCGTCGTACCCTACCCGTTGTACCCATCGTCTGCTTCCACCTCCGGGTCCGAGGAGTCGGACGAGAGCTCGGGATCCTCGGGTGGGACACGAGATGATGCATGCTGCACACACACGTATACGTATCTTTATATGTATATATATATATATACACACTGTATCTATATATATATCTACAATTATATACATACATAGATGACACAAGAGATGGCACATCTTTCATGTCATCGTCTGTTCATGTCCTTTCCATCATCTTTTTCTTTGCTTGTTTTTTGTGTGCAGGAAGGACATTGCACATCGGTTCAGTGTGTTCACATGGGTTCAGTCACTTCTCCCAGCGATTCGAGCTCGCGTGGATTGGGACCAGTTCTGGTGGAACAGGACCACGAAGGCCATCGGTTCAGGATGGAAAGACAATGGGGTCCTGGTGCAACCAATGGGGTCCAGGCTGGTAATTACGACTCAACTTGTGGTCAGTGAGCGGATGAATTGTAAACCAATGTGGTGGGATCTGCTGTCTAGTAGTGGGTATGGTAGTCGCAGCAATCAACCTTTCCAAAACTGGCCACACCAATCACCGGAGAGCCCGAACAGCTCATCTGCACATGTCAATGATCAACTTCTGTGATTGGTGGAAGGAGGGCCAGCCGAGGAAACAATCATACGTTGTTCCCCCATCTGCCAAACTTGGGTGGCGAAGGCTTTATGTATATTATATCATGATCATGGGCCATGTCGCACCGTACAACCAAACCGCTACTGTGCTGGTTTTCAGCATGGACCACCAGGTTGTGAAGCAAACAAAACAAGAGACTACTCTTAGAAAAAGAACAACCTACCATCACCTACCCCAGAGAATGAAGACTGAAAAGACGATTTCCTTTGGCCATTGGTTTGAGATTTGGTTCCACCATGTTCCACTTCTTCGGCTCTTGGGGAAGCGCGGCATTCTCCTTCACCCAGTCGCCCAACGCCTTCTGCCCAAGATGCAGAGCTGTCGTAACTGATGGCCCGGCTTTGGCGCCTGTAGCCCCTGCGCAGCGAACCCACCGAGGCACGGCAAATTTTTGAAGCCCATATTTTTTGGGATGGAAGACAGGTACCATGCAGGAAGCATCCCAAGTGTTACCAAGATGAGACCTTTGTCAAACACTGCCTTGGATGTACAGAAGCTGGTCTTGGTGAGGATGTGGTTTGATCAGTTTGATCTCACAAGTTCAAATGAGACGGGTCATTCCCCAGCTTCCTGACGATCAACAAATCAAGGAGTGGCCAGTCCACAAAGTGAACTCCAGTAACCCCTTCAACTGACCAACCAGGGAATGCTTTGCACCGTTCTTGTCACAAAGATTCACAAAGAACCCAATGTGAAGCTTTCCCCCTAGTCTTCACATCCCCAAACGATCGGTCCGCGATTTCCAAGGCCCAACTGAGGCCTGTCACAGGGGAAAACCATCGTTGATTCCAGCAAGCTGTCCTGCTCGCGTGCCATTCATGCCGAAGCCACACAAGAGGCCACACAAGTCAAGAGAGGCTGCGAAACTGGCCTTTCCCTCTCCAAAAGGCGCATCCAAAAACAGAAAAAACCACACATGATAAAACATGGAACTGCAATGGCCCAGCGAATCGGGTCGGGCGATTCACACATGTTCTTTTCGTGGAGTGTGGCGCGCTCTCCAGCCATTCAGTCACCCTCATCCGGACACTGCCCAGTCTTGGAAAGCGGGTCCGATATTTCTTCTGTGGTGCCGTGGGGCTTCACATAGGGTCCCACCTCTTGACTCTCTGGCACAAAATTCATCAGATCCCAAACGCACTCCTAAAAAGGGTGGAACCTGTAAGAACCACCAGCCGGTGGTCTGAATAGGGGTTCAACAGCTACTGGGTTGTGGCGGACGACACTGACAAAACATGACAAAACTGTCCTTGCCATTGGCTTCTGCCCGCTCATCCCCATTCTCCTGGGTCAAATGGAAAATGATGGGACATCGGTAGTGGGTAGCAAGGTTCTGACATGTTCTGACACTTGCTACACTGCTACAAGTTCCCAATAGCACTTTATCCCAGGTCACATTCCAACTTTGTACCGCATCTGCTGAAACGGGAGGTGGGCTAGCCGAACACTCAGCAGAACCGTACAGTTGGTCCTGTCGCTCTTCTCAGACGACACGCACATTTTAGTCCACCAGGTACAGTAGTAAGTGCGTGTTAATGGTCAGGGTGCAGGAGTGTAGTGGATGAAGGTCTGCCGACAATTTTAGCCCTTTAATACCCTTTATGCCTATTTCATACTCGGACGACCTGACAATGACCATCGACCTCGCGGTTGCCGTCAGATAGAGAGCTCTTCATGGTCCAAAAGATTTGGACAAACAGCAACATCAAGCACAACCCTGTGGATGGTGAACAGAATACCAGCAAAAGTGCGTATGGTCGCTAGTGGCTGCCTATTTGGGCATCCACACCATTCCACACATTGACACACCATGGCCATGCCCTCACTGCCCTCGCCGTTTTTCCTCGCTAGGCGCTGGCTTGCTACCCGAAGAGACGAGACGAAGTGGAGAAGGATTGTCGGGCCGCGGTGCGCTGCAGCCGACTCCCATCGGTTTCAACCTTCTGGGAACTTGGAGGTCTTGATCTGTGCGGATCAAGTTGGATCAGCGGGGTCATCCATGCCCCTTGAATGCTAGGAAACTCGAATAATTCACTGCAAAAAAGTCATGACACATCATCCCTCCAATATTTACCACCGCCTTCGCCTGCAACGAAGTTCCCCCCACTGCCGTTGCTTGCGACAGATCTGCGTGGGGTGTCTGCACAATGGCTCTAGGATGCTGGTGGATCAAATATGATCAAATCTATAAAACTGATGCTTTCAGGCCTTTGAAACAGGCGAATCTGCCAGCAAGCATCTGGCCATTGTCGCAAAGGCACCCGGAGTGCTCCCCAGAGGTGTCCGTTGACAACCGTACGTTGAGTGGAAAAGAATTGAGTATGATTGAATCCATCAGCAGCACCTCCTTCATCGCTTTTTCTCGATGACCCACCAAATCTCTGAACAACTCAGTTGAAAGATGGTGGGACTTTTGCCCACTCAAAGCAACAGGCCTGCAAGACCAATTGCTATGAAGGTTTGTACCTTCACAGCTCCTCCTTCGAACGCACTCCCTTCCCTTCCGATGTCGAAGTAGCGCTCAGTGCGGGGAACTCGTAGCCAACGGCGATGAGGTCACGGATCCAGGCTTGTGCCAGCCTGCCACAGGAAATTGGAGAAGCGCTTTCTTTCTGCTCAGGATTGGAAGGTAGGAACTCCTCAATTTATCTTGCTGCTCTGGATGCGGAAATGGCCAGTGTGGGTGGCCAATGGCCGAATGACCATCTCCAAGTGTCCACCATTCACTTGCGACGACCGTTTGCCGATCACTTGCGACGAACACCAGCATCATAGGTGGGGTGGGGTGGGCTGGGGTATGTTCAAAACCACTTCCAAACCTGCACACGTTCCTCATCACCATCAGCATGGGTGGGGTGGGTTGGGGTATGCTAACGTTCAAAGCCACTCACGATCCTCATCACCATCAGCATGGGTGCCTGAACATACGGAACATAGGTTTCAACAGGGAGCCGGGGATAAGGGGGAGGGGGTACAGTATCCTTGAAAGACCCAAAACAAGTTTTTGGACCATGTGGGCACACAGCTAGTGAAATCATTGTATTGTGCGTCTTGTTCTACCAATTGAACAACACTTAACTACTCTTGAGCCGAAGAAAAAACGACCAAATTAGCGTCACAAGCGAACGCCTCACCAAATCCAAGGGATGGCCCCAAGAAGGGCTGATGCCCTTCGCTCGCTCAAAACAAGCTGAGGCTGAGGCCAGACTTCGTTTCGCAGAAGAACATAGAATCCCACTTTCAAAAGCCACCTCTTCAACGACACTCCGCTCCAGTCCGCCTCCTCTGCCCAAACACGTCACCCGTTCCTGCCTCAAATCGCCCAGCTCGACGAAGTGTCTCGCATAAAGCTCAGCCCAAAGCTCTTCGAGGCGTTCCAGCAGTGAGGGCGCCGAGGAACTCCACCGCGACAGGAACTCCACCATGGCCTTGCTGGACCGATCGGACTGTGGACTGCACTGGACGTCGCCGCACTTGTCGTCCGAGTAAGTCAACCCGGGGGGGGGGGGGTTCGGGTTAGGGATGGCAAAAGACAGGTCTTTCTTCAGCCGAGCTGCAGTGGATTTCAGCTGCAAATCGCCTTCGCTTTGGAAGTCTTTCCTCATTCGCGGCAGCACTGTTTGCATTGTTTGCATCACTCGATATGAGGCCAGGGCCAATGGCACCTTGGGAACCTAATGCGAGCAAGACAGCCACTGGATGGTGGTTAAAACCATTCCCAAAACTATCGGTCAATTTGGGTAGTCATTCCCCAAATAGGGTTGACAAGTAAAAAGTAAATGAACATAAATGAAAGCACCAACCAGGCCATTCGTGGAAGAGCCTACCAGTATCATTAATAGAAATCACGCAACCTGACCACCACACCCTTCGGATGTGTATCAGATTCCGTCTGACTACCGTACACCTAAGACATAACCTGATCGTGACCTAACTATGCTTTTCAAAACCGCCCGCTTCCACAACACGAGTGCCCATACGCTTGAATCTTCCGAAGTCTCAAATAGTCGTGCGCCACCCGATCATGCACCACGTGCGCCGGAGTGAAGGTGATCACTTGCCCCACATCCCACAGCAACTTCTGCGTGAGGTAGGCGCGCCAGATGTCCGAGACCCGCCCATGGACGGTGACCGGCAGCAGCAAACCCCAGAAGGCGTCGTAGAGGTGCACCGTCGCTTGAGCGTTGTAAGGCGTAAAGGACCTGCGTTGCTTCACCGTTGTGGGGCTTCTTTCTTCCGCGACGGACATCACGGTGGTTTTAACAAGGACGGGTCTCGCCAGGCAGGACAAAGGCTCATGTTCTGCTGCTCTCTGCACCTCTGCACCCAACTCAAATCAACCGATCAAACGCTGAAAAGCCGGTCTCTCACCGCATTGCCGGTCCCTCACCGCGATCACCCCCTCTGCCACACCCACCCTGCACCGAGCCTGGGTGGAATGGCCATCACCGGAGGTAAAGCTTCATCCAAGCCCGCAAAGCTACAAGGTAACCTAAAGCCACGGAGGACCACAAACAAGTCACATGGTCACTAGTCACTAGCGTCACTAGAGATCATGAGAGCTTGACTACGACTTGACCACCAAACCGACTACACTATCTACACTACACTTCCTCAAACAAACAGCAAGTAACATATCGCACCCACATATGGCTCAAACAGTCTGGAACAGGACCTTTCAATCCACACATGTGACGGTGTGACCTGTTTTGGGACCGGGGAATATCTGGATGAGCGCAACAACAACCACGACGACACCACCAACAACAACAACAACAACAACAACCACAACCACAACCACAACCACAACCACAACCACAACCACAAC